CCCCCCCCCTCTCTCTCTCTCTTCTCCCCCTCTCTCTCTCTCTCTCTCTCCATCTCCCTCTCTCTCCCTCTCTCTCTGTAAACATGGTAGGATGGTCCTCTATCAGCTCCACTACATCTGATTAATGGTATGGTGTTTTTTAATTCTAGAAATTCTCAATGCATTACGTAATGCAACTCACTGTGCAACAACATGGGCAAAAGCTTGGCACAATTGGGCACTTTTCAATACGGCAGTTATGTCTCATTACACTTTGAGAGGTCATCCGAACATTGCTGGGCAGTTTGTTGTCGCTGCTGTCACTGGATATTTTCATTCTATAGCTTGTGGGGCACATGCTAAAGGAGTGGATAGTTGTTTTCCATTTTTAAGGATATAAGCTCTCAGATTCAGTTAGTAGTTTGCTCTCTCTCTCAGAATGTCCCATGAATTTCTCGTGTTTATTATTTTTCTTTTTTTGTGGGTTAGGTATCATTAATATTTTCTTGGAATTCAGGATATCCTTCGTCTCCTAACCCTGTGGTTCAACCATGGAGCCACATCAGAAGTTCAGATGGCACTACAGAGAGGATTTTCACTAGTAAATATAAACACATGGTTGGTTGTTTTGCCCCAAATAATTGCCAGGACACATTCTAATAACCTTGCAGTGAGAACTGATACAAGCACTGTTGGTACGAATTGGCAGAGCCATCCACAGGTTTGTTTGATTTATAATAACTAGTACTTCCGTTTGTCCTTATTTTTCAGTTTTGATATACTCTTTTCTCTTAGAATGTGATTTTTTTTTTTTTGTGTGTGTGTGTGTGTGTGCGTGTGGATATAAATACCTCCCCTCAGATTCTTCAGTCAGTTCTTGTTCATGCAACATTATAAGTTATTACATTTGGAGCTGTTCTTGTTCCATTTATTCTAAAACTGGGTAAATTTTATTGTGCTGGTTTGCATAGCAGCATTCGGTGCAGTAAATTAGTTTTACTACATTTTACACACACACACACACACACACACACACACACACATATATATATATAGTGGAACCTGCTAGCTGAGGCACATTATCATGTATGAAAGTACTAAATCATAGTTACGCTCGAATGAGCTAATGGTTTCAAATAAATACTGTTTCATTCTTCTTTATGTTTACGTTTTGGTTGAATGTTAAGTAAAACCTCGACTGTACTGCGATATATATCCACCGCTAATATGATGCACTGTGCAGGCTCTTATGTACCCTCTTCTTGTGGCCTGCAAATATATTAGCACTTTACGGAAGGAGGCAGCTCAAGAAGTGGTTGATCAAGTTAGGCAGCACAGTGGGGTGCTAGTGGATGAGGTGAAAATATAACATGATGACAATATTTTCTCCATAAAAATAAAAAAATTATATTTTTATCTGACCTCTATGCTTTGAATTGCACAGGCCCAACTTGTATCTGCGGAGTTGGTTCGAGTTGCTATACTTTCGCTTGAAATGTGGCATGAAGGATTAGAAGAGACAAGCCGCTTATATTTTGGCGAACGTAACGTTGAGGCAATGATGACTGTTTTAGAGCCATTGCACCAAATGCTCGAGGAATGTGCAATGAGGAACAATAACACCATAAACGAGAGATTCTTCATTCAGGTGATCTGTCCTTCTACATGTTGGCTATTCTAAAAGAAATGATATAAAAGATTTTCTTTTTGTTTCCAAATGAAATGCCAAGAAATTTTTTTCTTGTGCAACTACTTGAAGAAATTAATTAAATTTGATTAATTTTCAGCAATACCGTCAAGAACTTTTGGATGCCCACGCAAGCTGCATCAAATACACAAGAACTAAGAACTGGAAACGATGCAGAATTAACTCAGGTGAAAATTACATGGCAATGTAATAATGTTTCGACATTTGTTGCATTGATTACCCATCACTGTACATTTGCACTAAATCATCTTGTAACAGAAATTCAAATCTGCCTTCTCTGTCTACTCTCTGCAACTCAGCCATGTAACGTCTAAGAGATGCATAATGCTCTGTCACAGATCCTCTCAACATTTCCAGTGCCTTCCATTTTCTTCTATAAAGCTTCCATTTGGTTGGTTGAACAACATAATTACTTAGTATGTCATCTGCCAATTGTGATATAGTGAGTTTTGGGTTTTTTGTGAAAGTGCCAATATATTCCTTAGCAATCCAATCCCCAGTCACCTGTCTAGTGTGTACATCTCTATGGCATCTGTGTTCAGCATTCAGAGACTTTATTGCAAACCTACCTTCAGAAGTGATTGGAGAAGCATAAAGGCTCCAAGGACAACCCTCACTACACTTAGCTTGGATCTGCCTTTTGTTGGTCTTAACATTTTGTATATTATAGCCATTAATAATGGCTACCTTCTGAATGGCCCTTCTGACCTCTTCAGCAGATGTAAACCTCATCCCAAGCACAAAATTAAAATTCTTGTGATCACACTTAGGATCATAAAAGACTCTTTTTTTTAACCTCTTTGGCCTGCCCTCATCCACATCAAACTCATCACTACTAGATGAATTGGAGATCACTGCATAGTCAAGATCTGAGCCCTCAGACTGTGTTATTTCTTGATGAACTATGGAGAGCGACCAATCTTCATTCTCTGCCTCATCTGGAACAAACTTCTTATATAAGCTAAAATTCCTTCTAGCCACAATTCTCTCTTCATCATCTGAAGCAAGCTCATCATCACATAACTCATCAACTCTCAAGTACAGGAACATAATCTTCATCATCACTACTTCCATATGAACCTTCCCCCATTCTGATAACCATATTATTTTAACCAACCTGCACGATAATGGTCCATTTCGCATATGAAATACATAAGCAAATTACATCAGTTAACTTAATAATGTAGATAACTGGCTATATAAATTTTTCATACTATTAATAACCGATTGTTTACTCTTTATGTGTTTTTTTCAAATGTATATGTGAACACAACTGGATGGATAGTTTCCGAATCAATGCAGTCGTTCCCATCTTTCCGAATCAATGAAGATGTAGTTAAAATACAAATGTAGGATACGAAGAGGGTAAAGTCCGATATGCGTATAACACCAGTCAACTTCATACAATAGGTAACCGGTTACAAAAAGTTTTCATACTATTAATAACCGATTATTTCCTCTCTATGTGTTTTTTCCAAATGTAAGGGTTCTCACGAGTGATTACCTTTGAAGTGTCTCAAGACTGTAAGCAATTCAATTTATTACAATCATTTTCCAAAAAGTGAATATATTGCAATTCAATTTCTAAATCGTTTAATTAGAACTGTAAGCAATTCAATTTATTACAATCATTTTCCAAAAAGTGAATATATTTACTAAACCACATATGCTCAGACTTATTTGAACGGAGGGAGTAATTCTGAAGATAGATTATTTATCTTCCCTATGCACGTCTTATCACATCACCCTTTCCCTTTTCTCTTCTCTCTTCCAAACCCTTTCCCTCTTCTCTTCTCTCTATTTTCTTCGATGAACAAACAAGACAAGAGTGATTTTATAACAGGGATAATTTTATCCCTGATTTCAAATGCCATTTTTCTTTCCTCGGCGGCTGGCTTGTACTTGTGCTGGGTAAGCTGGAAACGGCGGGCGGGGGCGGCGGTGGCCGATGAGGGGTTCTTATTTTGTGCATCACCACCTAGTGAGGCATACGATGCCTCTGCTGAGGGAGGTTCTCCCTTTGATAGCCTACGGTATAAATTTTTCTTTAATCAGTTTATTGGTGTCCACTTCTCTTTAATCAATTTATTGGTATTTTTGTTTGTTTCAGCTCCCTCGACGTCGACTTGGAAAAGAGGTTTGAAAGTTAATGGATCCGGTTCTACGACATAACATCTGTTATGGAACTTGTTTTTGAACTTTTTATTGTAGTAATTATAATTTTGTATTTGTATTCATTGGACTCTTCATTGTTGAATGAATAGTCCAAATGAATACATGAATGTTGTATTTTGAATATTTTGAATGAATGTTTCAAACCTATGAATATTTGAGAAGGCAGTTATCAGCATAGCTCTTGAAGAATGGTTGGAGTTTGGCAAGGTTACTATCAGCTGATGTATTATGTGGGCTTTTGCTGGAGTTAGTTTAGGGGCTTTCTATTTTGTTCTTGGTAGGTTCTGTTAGCTTGTGGTAGTTGACTAGATTAGGGCGTTGCCAGTGATCTATGTCTTTTGTTGTTTTGACTCAGATATGTACATATCCCCGGGTTCTAAGATTAGTAATAGCCGAGGAATATGAAAGTATCTGAAGTATTTTGGGTTGGGTTCTAGGACACTTTGTGTTCCTCTGTTTTCCTTTGGTTGTATTGGACTTCTTAGTCCCCTTCATGTACAAATTGTTTTGAGTTATAAAACCTATCGTTTTGGAAAAAAAATAAAATTATAATTTTGTATTTGTATTCATTGGACTCTTCATTGTTGAATGAATAGTCCAAATGAATACATAAATGTTGTATTTTGAATATTTTGAATGAAGTTTCAGACCTATGAATATTTGAAATCTATATTTTACTTAGCATACCTCATTTTTAATGACAATACTGTCATATCATATTATTTTAACCAAGCAGTCGGATAATGGTCCATTTCGCATATGAAATACATTAGCAAATAACTGATTGTGAATATATGCAATAAATCATTTTCCAAAATGTGAATATATGCCCTACACCAAGCAGTAGGATAATGGTCGATAATGGACCATTATCCTGCTGCTTGGTTAAAAAAATATGATATGACAGTATTGCCATTAAAAATGAGGTATGCTAAGTAAAATATAGATTTCAAATATTCATAGGTTTGAAATATTCATTCAAAATATTCAAAATACAACATTCATGTATTCATTTGGACTATTCATTCAACAATGAAGAGTCCAGTGAATACAAATACAAAATTATAATTTTTTTTTTCGAAACGATAGGTTTTAATAACTCAAAATAATTTGTACATGAAGAGGGACTAAGAAGTCCAATACAACCAAAGAAAAACAGAGGAACAAAAAGTGTCCTAGAACCCAACCCAAAATACTTCAGATACTTCCATATTCCCCAGCTAATACTAATCTTAGAACCCGGGGATATGTATATATCTGAGTCAAAACAACAAAAGACATAGATCACTGGCAACACCCTAATCTAGGCAACTACCACAAGCTAACAGAACCTACCAAGAACAAAACAGAAAGCCCCTAAACTAAGTCCAGCAAAAGCCCACAGATACATCAGTAGTAACCTTGCCAAACTCCAACCATTCTTCAAGAGCTATGCTGATAACTGCCTTCTCAAATATAGGTACATTCTTTCAAAATATTCAAAATACAACATTCATGTATTCATTTGGACTATTCATTCAACAATGAAGAGTCCAATGAATATAAATACAAAATTATAATTACAACAATAAAAAGTTCAAAAACAAGTTCCATAACAAATGTTATGCCGTAGAACTGGATCCATTAACTTTCAAACCCCTTTTCCAAGTCGACGTCGAGGGAGCTGAAACAAACAAAAATACCAATAAACTGATTAAAGAGAACTGGACACCAATAAACTGATTAAAGAGAAATTTATACCGTAGGCTATCAAAGGGAGAACCTCCCTCAGCAGAGGCATTGTATGTCTCACTAGGTGGTGATACACAAAACGAAAACCCTTCGTCGACCACCGCCACCCTCGCCCGCCGTTTCCAGCTTACCCAGCACAAGTACAAGCCAGCCGCCGAGAAAAGAAAAATGGCATTTGAAATCAGGGATAAAATTATCCCTGTTATAAAATCACTCCTGTCTTGTTTGTTCATCGAAGAAAATAGAGAGAAGAGAAGAGGGAAAAGGTTTGGTAGAGAGAAGAGAAAAAGGAAAGGGTGATGTGATAAGACGTGCATGGGGAAGATAAATAATCTATCTTCAGAATTACTCCCTCCGTTCAAATAAGTCTGAGCATATGTGGTTTCGTAAATATATTTACTTTTTGGAAAATGATTGTAATAAGTTGAATTGCTTACAGTCCTAGTTAAACGATTTAGAAATTGGATTGCAATATATTCACTTTTTGGAAAAAGATTGTAATAAATTGAATTGCTTACAGTCCTGAGACACTTCAAAGGTAATCACTCGTGAGAACCCTTACATTTGGAAAAAACACATAGAGAGGAAATAATCGGTTATTAATAGTATGAAAACTTTTTGTAACCGGTTACCTATTGTATGAAGTTGACTGGTGCTATACGCATATCGGACTTTATCCTCTTCGTATCCTACATTTGTATTTTAACTGCATCTTCATTGATTCGGAAAGATGGGAACGACTGCATTGATTCAGAAACTATCCATCCAGTTGTGTTCACATATACATTTGAAAAAAACACATAAAGAGTAAAAAATCGGTTATTAATAGTATGAAAAATGTATATAGCCGGTTATCTACTTTATGAAGTTGACTGATGTAATTTGCTTATGTATTTCATATGCGAAATGGACCATTATCGTGCAGGTTGGTTAAAATAATATGGTTATCAGAATGGGGGAAGGTTCATATGGAAGTAGTGATGATGAAGATTATGTTCCTGTACTTGAGAGTTCATCTGATGATGAGTTATGTGATGATGAGCTTGCTTCAGATGATGAAGAGAGAATTGTGGCTAGAAGGAATTTTAGCTTATATAAGAAGTTTGTTCCAGATGAGGCAGAGAACGAAGATTTGTCGCTCTCCATAGTTCATCAGGAAATAACACAGTCTGAGGGCTCAGATCTTGACTATGCAGTGATCTCCAATTTATCTAGTAGTGATGAGTTTGATGTGGATGAGGGCAGGCCAAAGAGGTTAAAAAAAAAGGGTCTTTTATGATCCTAAGTGTGATCACAAGAATTTGAATTTTGTGCTTGGGATGATGTTTACTTCTCTAAAGAGGTCAGAAGGGCCATTCAGAAGGTAACCATTATTAATGGCTATAATATACAAAATGTTAAGACCAACAAAAGGCAGATTCAAACTAAGTGTAGTGAGGGTTGTCCTTGAGCCTTTATGCTTCTCCAATCACTTCTGAAGGTAGGTTTGCAATAAAGTCTCTGAATGCTGAACACATATGCTATAGGGATGTACACACTAGGCAGGTGACTGGGGATTGGATTGCTAAGGAATATATTGGCACTTTCACAAAAAACCCCAAAATTCACTATATCACAATTGGCAGATGACATACTAAGTAATTATGTTGTTCAACCAACCAAATGAAAGTTTTATAGAGGAAAATGGAAGGCACTGGAAATGTTGAGAGGATCTGTGACAGAGCATTATGCATCTCTTAGACGTTACATGGCTGAGTTGCAGAGAGTAGACAGAGAAGGCAGATTTGAGTTTCTGTTACAAGATGATTTAGTGCAAATGTACACTCTAGACCATCTATGTATAAAATACATATACATCTACGTACCGATTGAATCAAAACTGTTACTTTTGAAAAGGGTAAATTACACCAAACCCCCCTGTATTATACTAAATTTACGCGTTGTCCCCCTGTAATTTAAAAATTGCGTCAAACCTCCTTGTAATGTACTTTTGCATGCACGAAACCCCCTAAACCGTCTAAGATGACGGAAGTAGTGTGCACGCGCGTGCTGTGCGGCTTTTTCTTCATTTTTTCACCCAAAATTCGCAGAATTTACTTTTTTACCCCAAAAGTAATTATAATATAATATAAGATATATAATATATATAATATATAATATATTATATAATATTATATATATTATATAATATATTAAATATATTCATTTTTATCTTATATTTTTTATTTTGAAATTAAAAATTACTATCTTGTCCATTAAAAAAAAAAAATATAAAATATCCTTATTTCATCTTCAACCTCAAAAAATAAAAATAAAAAAATAAAAAAATCAAAATCAAAATAAAAAAAAACAAAATATACAGAAAATGGACAAAAATTAAAAATCCCCAAATTCCATTCAACGATTTTGAAATGGGCCAATCACTCGCTGAAGAATAACTCTAGTGAAGCTAAGTAGTTCCAACAAAGATCTCCGCCGCTCTTAAGCTGTAGCTAACACAAACTCAATCTTTAAAGTTCCATCTTCTTTTAAACCCTAGATCTAAAACAAAGTCTACAATTTCATCCCCAAATTCAATGGAATTCCAAGCGTGCTATAGGATCTCGGATCTGAACAGGGAGATGCCGCCGGTGCTCCTTCGACACTGGTCGAGGTGAAATAATTCGGACGAGGCGAGCTGGAGATATGGTGTTCACGGTGGTGACGATGGAGACGACGCCGCATCGCTGGAGCTCCCCTTCCGTTCTGACGCCGACGTCTAGATCGAGGAGACCCTAGGCTCCGTCAGGTTCATCACCGCCGCCGACGACCTTGGCAATGAGGTATGCGTCGTCCCTGATGAAGGCCCTGTCGCCGTACAGATCGAGGGAGAACTCCTGTGTCGGCGGTGGATGGAGTCACATATTCTTGGGAGAACTCATCTTCAGCCATAGCTCATACGCATAAATGTTGCATATCTGCCCTGAATCTGAGATTTGATTTTATCTTTGCTTTTCTTTTTTCTTTTTTTTTTTTTTTTAATAAGGGTTTTCCAATTGGAGGAGAGAAAAATTGAAGACAAAATCGGTTCTACAACTCAAATGAGGGGGGACATAACGGAAGTTTGACAAATATGTAACGGTGTTATCACTTAGACACAGGTTGGGGAGCGTCAGCTGACCAACACTTAATATAAGGGGGTTTGACGCAATTTTTAAATTACAAGGGGAAAATACGCACATTTAGTTTAATGCAGGGGAGTTTG